CAAAAAAAAAAAAAAAAAAAAAATTGCATAATCCGACTTCAGTTATGGAATCATAGAACTTATTTGATATCTTTGATTTACGTGTAATTTTTTCTTTTCATTTTTACTTTCAGAGTGTAATAATTACCGACGGATCAGAGCAATATAAGCGTTTCGTACAGTTACCGCAACCACTCTCTTTTAAAGTTTACGTATTCAATGTAACAAACTCGCATAAAATTCAACTTGGTGCCATACCGATTGTAAAAGAAATCGGACCATATATCTATAAGTAAAATGCATCAGTAAATATGAAAGGCAGAAATGAATGTCATTTAAAATGTACTCTTTAAACTTCTTAGACAATTCCGAACAAAGCGTGTACAACACTTCTCACGGGACGGTTCCAAAATTACTTATGTACAAGACCAACTCTATATATTTGATGAGCAGGCTTCGGCTCCGCTGCGCGAATCAGATAACATCGTGGTATTGAACATGCATATGAATGTACGTAAGATGAAAAAAAATATATATATCAAATACTTTTATTATTTATTACTTTATTTTATACCCAAAAACCAAAAAAATATATATCAGGCGTTCTTGCAAGTATTCGAAAAAGAAATCACCGATATTTTGCAAGGTTTCGCAAATCGAATCAATCATCGTTTAAATCGAACTCCAGGCGTTCGTGTATTAAAACGTTTAATGGATCGTATACGTGGGAAACGTAAAGTAAATTTTTTCTTGTATCACTTTTCTGTTTCTTTTCGACAAAAACTAAAACCAAACAAAAAATTGATTATATTCGGTACACACCGAATATCTTAATACTCATCATCATTTTTGCGAACGTAACCACTTTAGATATAAACATATAGCGTGAAATAATCAAACAAGTAAAGTAAACAATTGAAAAAAAAGTCGTTAAAGTAAGGCGTGGCAGGGATCACATGAAATCATTTTGACCTTGAGCTTATTTAGAGTGCTGGCAAACCTAGCTACAATGTCTAGCGCTCGCATTGGAACATGGAAACTATGATGTAATATAAATTTAAAGGCATGTTTTAGCTTTTGAAGGTAGCTTCATGCCTACCCACTCCGATGTAACCCCGTTCTCTGTCAGACGTTGCAACTTCAAATCAGAGGGAGGAGTAAGCAGAAAAGTTTCAATGAAGTATTTCGAAATGATTTCAGGTAGACAGTTTTTATAGGATCTTCAAAGACCCTTCTAACTTTTTTTGCAACCTAAAAAAAATATTTGGATGCTGAGTATAAGAATAAATTTTATATTAGCAATTGCTTAATCCTCTAAATGTAACTGAATTCTAAAAAAAAAAAAAAAAAAAAAAGCGAAGATTTAATTAATTAATGCTCGACAGACTTTTATTCTAGCCCTAATGTTCCCATTTTCATTTTGCATGCTTCTTTAATCCTATTCGCTTTAACGCTATATAATCGTGGTTAATTCAATCATTAACAATGGATTCTTAATTACATAGATTAACAATGGATTCTTTTTCTTATTAATTTACATAAATTTAGAGCCCTTCAAATGGGTCCATAATATATTTCTAAGCGTTTATGATAATGTGAAAGTAAGTTGGGTTAATGTAATAACGTAACATACACATATATTTGCAATAACATTATTATTGCTTGCAAGGGAAAGAAATTTGCTTTTAAGAGAACATTTTACTTCTATTCTATTACTACTGTCATCTACTAATTTCGTTTGGCTTTCTTTCTCAATTTCCCTCTTTTAGTCGGTTTTAGAAATAAGCGAAAATGATCCAAGTCTGGCCATATTGTTAGTGCATTTAAATGCGAATTTAAAAGGAATATTCAATGACCCGAAATCGATGTTTGTTAGCACTACCGTTAAAAATTATCTCTTCGACGGTGTACGTTTTTGTATCAATCCTCAAGGTTTGGCCAAAGCGATATGCAATCAAATCAAGGAAAGCGGCTCGAAAACCTTACGCGAACTAAAGGATGGTAGTTTAGCCTTCTCCTTCTTTCATCATGTAAGTTCCACTAACTTAAACAAATTCGATTAACGCGTACATGGCTTTCTTTCTGCCTTTACATTTTTAACTCATATATAATTTTATACTTCTAAATAGAAAAATGGTTCCGGCCAAGAATTATTTGAAGTTCATACCGGCAAAGGTGATGCTATGAAAGTTATGCAAATACAAAAACTGGATGATTCGCACAATTTACAAGTTTGGCTTAATGCTAGTGAAAATAATGAGGCTTCAATGTGTAATCAAATTAACGGCACGGATGCCTCTATGTTTCCACCCTTTCGTCAACCGGGTGATAATATGTACATTTTTAGTACCGATATTTGCCGTTCAGTGCAATTGTTTAATCAGCATACAATCGAATATAAAGGTATACCCGGTTATCGTTATTCGATTGGTGAGAATTTCGTTAATGACATCGGTCCTGAACATGATAACGATTGCTTTTGTGTTGATAAATTAACAAACGTTATTAAACGTAAGAACGGTTGCCTATATGCCGGTGCATTGGATTTAACGACTTGTTTAGGTAAGTTATGAATAATGAAATCAATTTTACGATGATTAGTTTCATTAATTTATACATAAAATTTAATTTATATATTCAATTATCGCGCTGACCTCAATTCAAAGCATATCATATAATAAACTTGAAACTCTCTTTCATCATCATCGAGTTCCCTTCTTATTAAATCAAATGTTTACCTATAGCACTTTTTGTTGTAAATTTTTGATATCTGAATACCGAGAGATAGTAATACAGTAAGTTTTGTCTTTTTGATTATTTTACGTTTTATAAAATCGTAAGTCGCTCGATAATTGCAAAAACTAAAAATTGAAACATTTTAATATGCTTTAATGAATAACCTACTATAGCATGCTCAAAAATTGTTTCTTGCCGCTGTCATCGTTCATTGTAATCCCTCAAGTGGGAGTGTGAAAATCATTACCTAAACGTTTATGAGTTACAATGTGAAATAAATTAAAAACACATGACATATTAAATTTGTGAGGACTGAAGACACACCTACCCATTTGTAAAATTGATCGATTCCCATTTATGTGTAATCTTAATGAAATTCGTTCACTGACATGTTTTGGCCCAAGAACGAATATTGGTAACAATGACTATTTTTGTTACCCTTCTGCAATTTTCAAAATTTCTCGACAAAAACGGCTGAATGACAGTATTGAAGTGTACTGAACGGATATGAAAAATTTCATTTGAAGGCGCCAATGCGTCCATTTCTATACGGTCCGTTTAAGTGTGCCATTTAACTAACTAAAAAACTATTTCTGGTCAAAAAGTTTATCGATTCGAATGTATTAAATTGTAAGGATGGTTCAGGGCTAAGGTACGACGCAAGGCTACCTTCAGGCCTTCATGTCAACAAATTTCTAAGCAAATTAATTGAAACGTTACTTTTTTCTGTAATTCTTCTTCATTCATCAAAATTATTAGACTTAAGACAATCAATTCGCAATAAGAGAAATTCGTTCAGAGGGAGAAAATCCACTTGCAAAGCGAAAAACTCGCCCATGAATGGTATGTCCTTTCATGACGAGAAATGTGGTGCGTGGAAAAGAAAGCTAATAGGTGGAAAAAAAGCCCTTACATAGTAAAAGCCATTGCGCGAAAAAGAAAACCGTTGCGCAAGAAAGAAGAACAATGAAACTTCATTAGAAAGCTTTGGTAACCGCAGAATATTAAGTCCATGTTCAATTTGTGACTATAGCCAGAATGCTCGCGTAATCCAATAACAGCGATCGTAACATAGAAATTCGGAGTACTGGTGAACTTGGAAGAAGATCTTTGTGTCTTTCAACAGCCTACCCGAATAGTTATGAGATTTTTGACTCCTTTAAAAGGAAGAATGTAATCTCTTAACATGTATAAAATGATTTGTTATTATAGTTCGGTCTACCGGCAAATCTATAATTCGTTATCATACCCTTGGCGAATAGTAAAAAAAATAAGTTAATTGCAGCAAGGGTTTAGTTCGTGGACATATCCCATTTTTCTTTGGAGAACACTTGCTCTGGACGTGCTCACGTGTAAGAACCCAGCAAGAACAGAATCTTGTTTTTCTTCTGCATTTAAGCGATATTTGTTTGAGGTAAATACGTCCATTACAACTTTCATCAAACAGTTATTTAGAAAACTCGATATAAATCGTGTACAATTGTCATCGAAACCAATGCAATCAGATTGGAAACTCGAACATCATGCGTTTGGTATATACGGCCTTCCTTCGGCTGGAATGGTGAATGTCCCGACCCTTTCTGGTCGAGTAGGACGCTAAGTTCGGGCAGCGATTAGTTACTGTATGATAAATGTGAGTGTAAAGGAAGCCAGCAAATTAGCTTTATTAAGAGGAATCGGCATGACACCGTAGATTGGTTCTCAATTTATTTCACGAGCGACCAGAAGAATGCAAGTTCGTATGCCATGTTTTGTATCATTTCTGCAGCAAGATTGATGTTCTCGTAAAGTTACCATGGTTTCCAATTAATATGCTTGGAGAAGTTATTGAGATCTATCCAAGTCGTCATATCACCTTCAAAAATTCCACGTTTTGGTGCAATTCTTTAATGCTTGGAGTGTGAATTATGTAAATATATAGGGTGCATATTTATTTAAATAACTAATCACTCGGGGGATGTATCCTATTCGTGATGGCCAGAGAGAAGACGAAGGGAAGAAAGGGAATGATATATGGAAGCGGCCGCAGCCTAGTGAGTCTTTACCAATCTGGTGAGTACTTACTCACTATAGTTACGACCAAAATAATCTCTATTCCACTGAGAATTGAACCTGCGAATACTGACTTGTTAGTCACTGGTCTTAACTATTCGGTTACTCTTGCGTTAGGCAGTCCTTAAGTGCGATAATGTCCGGGTTACAACACTCCAGAATTCTTTGGGCCAAGTGGTGCAGTTAGCTTTAATATAGACGTTGATTTCACTCTCAGAATAATTATTAAGAATGAAGGATTTTGTGTGAGAGCCATGTGAGAAAATCATCTTAACCGCCTTTCAACTTCTATAAATAAACTCCTTAACCAAAGTGTAAGGTGTAATTCGGGATCCTGAGTGTTATATTGTTGCTGACATTTGACACTACATACATGTGGACATAACAACAGCTACATGTGATATGAAACTTCGAATAATTTGGGATCCACGCCACAACGAATCCACAACGTAACTAATAGTGGATAGGATCTAGAAGTGGAAACAGAATGTAATTTTTGTTACTGCTGCAGGAAAAACACAAAAGTCCTGAGTGATTGTTATATGCTGTGTTGTGATGCAGTTGTGTTGCTGTTTTTATTGCAGCCACTGCTGTTGGTTTTAGAATTTTATTTGTTGAACTGCTTCGTTTCTGTTGCCGTTTTATTGTTGTTGTTTTTGATCCTCCGTCTATTGTTTTATTTTTATTCTGCGTACAGCTATTGCTGTTCATCTTGCTGGTATTTTTGTTGCTGTTTGTAGATGCTATTAGAATTGCTAATACGGTATACTGGTTTTTGATGATGTTGTAATTGTTGTTGCTGGTATCGTTTCTGCTGCTATTGTTGCCGTTGCTATTGTTATTTGTGTTGTCGTCACCATTTGTCGTTGTTGATGTTGCTATCGCCATTCTTGTTTACGTTGTCATTCCCTTTGTGCTATTGTTATTGTTGGTTTTGTTGTTGCTATTGCTTTTATTATTTTTCTACTTTAGACTCTTACAGTAGATATTGCTTTGCTTTTATTGTTGTTGCGGTTATTGCCATTGCTGGTGTTGGTTTATTCGACTGCTGCTATTGAATTTGTTGTTTACTTTACGACTGTTGTTCGAGTTATGCGCATTGTTTTGATTCTGTCTCATTTCTTAATGTTTCTTTTTGGTGATGTCATTTTCATGTGCTCGATCAGCACTAGTTGTTATGCATTGGCTATTTTTCTCTCGCCAAAATTTTACCCCTCAGAGAGTTCGTTGCCGTAGAGCGCATTTTTGCATCTAACGTACACGAATGAGTCAATATTTTCATGCACCCAACGAAACTCACCCTCCGTCCGATTAATCATTCTCGTTCCTTTGCTTTGATATATTTTATTCAGAAACTTTCATGTTGTATTTTCACCAGAAACTTGATCTTGTTAATTCGTATTTGAGAATTGCAACTATGTCCCATTAGTTAATAAAAACCGCAAAGTGGTAATTCCTCGTTTTAATAATATAAAGCATAATCAGACCCAAGCAAAACACGTCAACGTTCTTCAATGAATCAAAATCTATATTTTGATGTCTATAAGGTTATAAATTTATATATATAACATATATATGTAAATATATATCTATTAATCAAGAAAACAAATGATTAATCTACAGCTTAAATATTGCAAGACCGGTTCTGTGATGCAATGTTGTAAATAGATATTTTTGCGTGACCTATTCGCGAATTCTCCTAACGAACCGGGCAAATATGAAGAGAAATAGTTTATAAGAACAATTGCATCAGCTTGGGAAAGTTTATATCTTTATTGTATGGGTTGTGTGATAAGCAGCAGCACAGCTAATATCCAGCAGTAGTATGTAAGATAATGCGTGTACAGAACAAATAAACACTAACAATATCTTGATCTTGTAGACATTAAGATACTTGCAATATAAAATTGATAAACAACCAAGGGTGTTCTTGCAGTATAAAAGTGGAAAATGTAGATGGGATTACGACCATTTTTAATCCCCTCCCTCATAATTGTTCCTTGGCCCATATAACAGTAATTTAACAAAGAAATCAACTGTACCGAATAGATCTACTTCTTGCACATATTTTTTAGTCAATTTTTTGTGTTCCACCACATGTAAGCGTACTCATGAAAAGAAACACTTAAATGGCAACATAGGCTAATTTTTTATGAAAATGGGTAAGGAAAAATACAATTGTTTACAACAACATTCGTTTGTTATTAAATTAGTTCACACCAGTTCACGTCTTGGGCTATCTTCCCTGTACAAAAAGTAAATTTTGTGGTATTGGTAAAATAAAAAAATGCTTGCCCGACTATAGTCTTTTTACATGTTGGCATAGCTCTTAAGTATGCCTTGGTATATATTTCAATTGCATATGTAGTTAATAACTTCTTCAAAGTGGTGATATTTTACTATCGGATTCAATTTTTGCCACAAATGGGTCGCAAACATGTATTTCATCAGCTTGCTCAAGGCCTTTTCCGAAATCTATATTTTACCACAATTTTTTTTTTTTTCTTCATCTGCTTGATATTAATACAATGTTTAAATTTTTATTACGTTAATTATTTAAACTTGTAAAAAATGGCCCAAGTTGCGTTATCTCTTATTGTTATTTATTTATGTATTTTTAATGAATACCTTATAAAGTTTAAATTTTTATATATTATTAATTGCATTAACGACCCTACATGTCCGTTTATTATGGGCGCTATAAACTTGTTATATACATATAATTATTGCAATAACCAGAAGTTTCGGTTAATTATGATGCAATTAATTTTGAT